AAAAAGACTTACTTGTTCAACTCAAACTTCAAAGAAATTTAGAAAAATTCATGAAGTGGATGTTTCGTCATCCAAGATCCAAGATGGCGGCGACAAGGAGTATTTTTCGTTTTCTAAATTCAAGACTTTCTACGTCGTTTTCTGCCCTAAGAATTGGATTGCCAAGCGGACATAGTAAGGCGACAAAACGTACAGATGTTTACAAATTAAGTTTGTTAACAGCTAATGGTATGTACACAATAATCAATATTCTAATGTAAAACTGTTTTGTTGCATTTTATAGCTGCCCATCTGTGGTCAAGAATGTCATATCAATATACCAAACCAGCGAGACTATTTTCTACACATAACAAGCAACCTTGGATCAAGTACTACAGTCTTCTTTGGGACCAACCACAAAAATCCATATGCCAAAAACTAATATTGCCCTTGACAACTAGAACTTTATCAACGACTGTTTATAGCAGACCTCTGCTGTCCATGCCTTCGGGGAATTTATGTTTTCGAAGAGGAATTACCCTAATCAGCAAAAAAGGAAAGCGTAAAACATGCAAAGCAGTGGCCAAGAGGTTCATTAGAACTGGCAAAGGGAAATTGAAAAGATGGCGATGTGGATACCATCATAATCAAACGAAAAAGAGCAGCAGAAGGAAGAGAGCCTTACGGAAACCAACATATGCATCGAAAACACAGCTTAAGACTTTGAATAAGATGTTAAATGGCTGGTAGTTAAAGTTAATGTTACTATATAAAGATGTAAATTAATTAACATTATGTGAATTACTGAATTTTCTAACAGTGCTGCCAGTTCTGCTGTGAATTTTTTGACTGCCAAGAATTTTGCAATAAGCTGCTATGGTTTGGGGCAACCTGAAAAAATCAAAAACACTTGGACGTTTTAAGGGAAGCTCTTTCGGAAACCAACATATGCATCGAAAACACAGCTTAAGACTTTGAATAAGATGTTAAATGGCTGGTAGTTAAAGTTAATGTTACTATATAAAGATGTAAATTAATTAACATTATGTGAATTACTGAATTTTCTAACAGTGCTGCCAGTTCTGCTGTGAATTTTTTGACTGCCAAGAATTTTGCAATAAGCTGCTATGGTTTGGGGCAACCTGAAAAAATCAAAAACACTTGGACGTTTTAAGGGAAGCTCTTTCGGAAACCAACATATGCATCGAAAACACAGCTTAAGACTTTGAATAAGATGTTAAATGGCTGGTAGTTAAAGTTAATGTTACTATATAAAGATGTAAATTAATTAACATTATGTGAATTACTGAATTTTCTAACAGTGCTGCCAGTTCTGCTGTGAATTTTTTGACTGCCAAGAATTTTGCAATAAGCTGCTATGGTTTGGGGCAACCTGAAAAAATCAAAAACACTTGGACGTTTTAAGGGAAGCTCTTTCGGAAACCAACATATGCATCGAAAACACAGCTTAAGACTTTGAATAAGATGTTAAATGGCTGGTAGTTAAAGTTAATGTTACTATATAAAGATGTAAATTAATTAACATTATGTGAATTACTGAATTTTCTAACAGTGCTGCCAGTTCTGCTGTGAATTTTTTGACTGCCAAGAATTTTGCAATAAGCTGCTATGGTTTGGGGCAACCTGAAAAAATCAAAAACACTTGGACGTTTTAAGGGAAGCTCTTTCGTAAAGAGCTTATTAGTTAGTAGTAGTTACATTACTCCTGACGAATTTTCTGTCTCGAAATTGGTATTTCAGACACAACTTATTGCTAAATATCAAACTTTTTTTGGCATTTTGCTCGATCGAAGCATCCAGCTAATCAGTGGCCCATTGTCGGCCATGATGAATCAAGAAGAAAATCCTTCCCGATAGACAAATAATTTTACACACAATGTCCATTGACAGTGGAGCTACAACAGTCGACAATAGTAAAACGCATAAATAGTTATCACAAGTCAGGACACAATAACATTGATGCAGTTATATTTTAGATTATTATATCTGTTTATTGCTCTATAAGTCTATACTTCTTTCATCTGTTAGTTACTTTTACTGTGGTCAAACAAAAATTTGTTCAGTATAAGTTAAAATCTGTTAATAGTTGCTTGATACTTATTTTATTTGTTAGTTATATTACACTGCGGTTATACAAAAAGTATATACGATTAACTATCTTATGTAAACGTACAATCATCTATTTCTTAAATTTGAATGATAGTATAAGTAGCCACTCTCACTGGATCCTTAATAGTAATAGTATCTGTCAACGTTCACACAATAGGCCCTTTCAAGGTTTATTCCGCCATATTGCCGGGGGTGCAAAACATTGGGGCGAGCGCGCGGCCAGTCATGGTTTCCCATACAAATTACTAGTGAGTGAGCGATAATTTTGTATGGATATTTCATTGATTTTCTCATGCTATATTAAAAGAGAGTCCAAATTCTTGTATTCTGGCTGATCTGTGCGTATTTTGAAACTACTGGTAAAGATTTCAATGGAATCTGATTGGGGGAAATCCGTGAATATGCTGATTTCTTCGACACCTTTCGGCGAGCTGTTTACAG